CTGTTGTGTGAGTTAATGAGTTTACAGGATAATTACTTTTCTACCTTAGAGTAAGCTGTCATCACTGAAATATAAGCCTCTTTTGTTACCTGTCTTAAAACCCTTAGAATGAGATTTATTAGTAGTGCATGGCATTAACTTCATTCTCTGAAATCACCACTTTATGATCCAATAATATAGTCTCAAATATCTGTGGAATAACGGAATGGAATGGCTATCTTCTGAGGTACAGATTTTTTCCTGTGAAGTTCAGAATAAATTTCCATTTTTCAAACTTGAACATATGACAATATGTTTATATGTTTGTTTCATGAGGTGTGACAATTACATCCCTGAAATGCCCCATAAAAGCAGGATAAGACTGCTTGAACCAGATTGTGTGGGGTCAGGATAGCATCTAAAGCCAAGAGTTTGTGAACAGAATTGTAAGTATTTATGTGTCCTTTTCTAAATGCAAGGAATTTTTTGCCCAGTTTCATACACATGAAGTGCCTTAATAGCCTTCTGTAGTTAATGTGAATGGATTTGTTGCAGATCACAGAGGTGGTGGCTGGGAGTGTGCAGCATTTTCGGTTCGTGGACAGGTGTTTGAGTGTCCACCAGACTAAGTAAGTGCTGCTTTGGTTTACTCTGGAAAGATGTTGCTGCAACATAATTGTCCTTAATCTTCATGCCCAAATGAGGACAAAAGTGATGATATCAAGAATAGTTTTCTGAAGATGTAGAATTAGTATTTGATACATTTGGCAAGTATCACTTGAATATTCTGCTAGGAGATTTCAGTGCAAAAATGAGGAGGGAGGATATTTTCAAACCCACAATAGGTATTGAGAGTCTGCATGCACCTAGTATTGACAATGGTGTTGGAGAAACAGATTTCGCTACGTCAAAAGATTTAATTGTAAAGAGAACAGTATTTCCACATTGTGATATTTTTAAATACACTTGAACTACTCAAGATGGTAGCATAAACAATTGGATAGATCATTTTTTAGTAGATAATAGAAGGCAGACAAGTATAATTGATGTGAGATCATTCAGAGGAGCAGATTGTGATACTGACCATTATCTCATAGTGGCAAAAGTGAGGGAGCGGCTTTCAGTAAGTAGACGAACTAAGCAAAAATTTTGACTCAGAAAGATTTGATTTGGAAAAATTAGATGAGAGAGAGGTAAAGGAGCAATATCAAGTTGAAATTTCGAATATATTTCAAATTTTAGAGACGGATGAAGATAATGAAAGTGTGGACATCAACAGGGAGTGGGAAAATGTCAGAAACTGCATCAAAATTTCAGCGAAAGAGAAACTAGGATACTACAGGAGAAAGCAAAATAAACCGTGGTTTGATGAAGAATGTTCAAAATTAATAGATCGAAGGAAGCAAACAAAACAAATGTGGATAATCTATGTAACGTGAGACATGAGGCTAGTAGAACCTTTAGGAATAAGAGAAGGGAATACCTGAAAGGCAAAATTTCTGAACTTGAGACAAATAATAAGGAAAAAAATATCAAGAGACCTGTACAGAGGCATTAATAACTTTAAGAAAGGATATCAACCCCAGACCAGATACGAGAGAAAAAATGGGAGTACAGTGGAACCGTATATCAATTGTTTATAGATTTTGAAAAAGCCTATGACACTCTATGAAGTGTTACACAATATTCTTATTGAATTTGATATACCAAAGAAGCTAGTGAGTCTATTAAAAATGTGCTTAAATTAAACCTGTAGCAAAATTCATATAGGTAAATATTTATCTGAGTTATTTTCCATCAACAACGGTCTGAAGCAAGGAGATGCTTCGTCTCCATTGCTCTTTAACTTTGCTCTAGAATGCACCATCAGGAAAGTCCAAGATAGGCAGCAGGGTTTGCAATTGAATGGGACACATCAGCTCTTGGCACACGCTAATGGGAGGATAATCTCAGGTGGGATCTATGGGAGATAGGAGTTGAAGGAGATTGGATTTGTTTGGCCCTGGACATGGACCAGTTAAGGGCTTTGTTGAATTAGATGGTGAACTTTCGTCTTCCGTAAGCCATCTAATTAGTTAGTTAGTTTTGAGCAATATTTTTTAGGTGTGAATGGGGCTTAACATTATTGGAAACATTTGTTTTTAACTTTCCTTTGATTGTTATGACTGTGGATGAGAAAACAAATTTTTGCCAATGACTGTTACAAACATTTTTGTAAACATTATCACATAAATTATGTAACTTTTGTTAAAACACTATTAGTAATGCATGATTTTAACAGTGATATTTACATGTGAAATGGACTTAATCAACCCTCACAGACCTAACTGGCATTGCATTAATAAATTATGGATTTTCAATATTATAAGCAGACAGGAATAATGACCGGAAATGTAAGGAATAAAAGTTGTTTATGTAAATAGAGATAAGACTTCTTTTGTAAACACTTTTTTCTTCCAAACTGTCATATTGCTAGACATTTAAACATACATCATAGGCTATAAACTATATGCATTGATAACTTGGTTATACGTATGTCAAGACCGTCTGTGATATTTGAAGTTCTCAGTGGCAAGTGTGAAGATGAACATGGCCCTGTGTTTGCAAATATGCTCTTCTTATTGTCCCTTGAATAAAATGTTAATTTTTACTGGCACACTCTAAAAACTGAAAATCTTGACATACAATGAGAAAACAGTGATGTGTAACTTAACAAAAAACAATGCTCTGAAATAATGTGACCTATTTTGACATATCTAAACAAATTAATTTTTCAAAAATCTTCCCACCACTAGGTGAACTCTATATGCAATTTTCATGGTTTACCTCTGTGAAATGAACTATTAAATCATTGTACGTTCCTTAAATGTTGAATGATCAGTATTTTAAAGCAACATCTGTCCAGAATAGAAAATAATATTGTGGCTACTGTCAGATATTTGCATCGATTAATATGGTCCAATATAAATGGCTTAGATATGGTGTGGAGTTATTGATAAGTGGCTTAAGAGCATATGTGGAGGTTAGTAATTTGTGAGATGCCAAGTTTGGTAAATATCTTGTTTGAAAGCAGTAATAAAGGATTCTATGATGAGTGAAGAGGATATCATGATGTGGGGCTCAAGCTCGGGAAAGCTGGTGTCGTCCAAAGTGTATGGTGTGTAATTATAAATAGGTATTTGTGGAGCAGCCTGGTAGATGTGAGTATGTAGCAGTGATTTGGAGCATTCAATATAGAGAAGTTTCTTGGACACGCAAGTCTGAGAAAATTTTGAATGATACCAACAAGCTTTTCAGATAAAAGCTTATATTCTCTCTTAAGTATTGCCCAGGTGCATATCTTAGCCTGTGAGATCTGGTTTATTTCAACTGATACCTCCACCATGCAATTTATATCCAAGTTCATGGTGTATACGATTCTTTATTCAGTTATTACGATCTGTGTTGAACATTATGTGAACATTGTTCTTACTGGGCTGTGTTTGCATATAGGGGTTGCTGCCATACAGCATAATTTTATCTAATTGGCAACGTTTATACACTTCATGTAACAGAGGATGAAGTCGATGGCGCTGTTCGCGGTATGAGGGATGTAAGTGCTCATTGCAGGTATGTTTATAAGACAGACGTTCCTATTTCAGGAAATTTACAACTGCTATTATTTTCTCACAAGGTTTGTCCATGCGGCAGTTGAAACCTCCCGCTAAAGTCAGGGCTTCCTGTGTGATGAATTTGCGCAGTTCGATGCTTTTCTTGTTGATGCAGTTATGTTGACAAAATCAATGACTATCCTATGAGATCTAAAATTCCTTTTTTTATTATTATTTATGCATAACGGACAGCGTTAGTTGTAAAAATTCTCTTTAAAATAAAATAATCGATAGATCCAATCATTGGTATAGTTCGCCTCCTTAACACATAATCTGTTCTAATTATCCATTCGTTTCTGACAAATTTCCCTATAACCTTTCTTTCTCAACTATTGGTAATATGCTGTTTTGTGACGTTTAGCGCCAATTCGCAGCGTGTTGTGTACTGTATAATGGATATGGTGAAAGATTTTTGAAACAATCAATAACGTGACAGTATGGAAGGTAGGTTCTTTGAGTGAATTAAACTTACATTATTAATGGGACAAGGGGGGGAAAAGTCATTTGATGCAACAGTGCTTAATTTCGAAGTTTGAATTTAAGCGACTCAGTGAAGGGGGTTGCTAGAACTCTGAAATGAATATGTTCCAGGATTTTTTACGTTGCCGTCCGGGATTAGGCCCATCCCTTTTCTATGGCCTACCCAACGGATGGGGCATGTAGGTAAACTATCATGTTCATGTAATATCGACGTTACAAACACTTGGAGTTATTACCTCCAATCTTTCGTCCGTGTACAACTGTACCTATTATATTTTATTAGGCCCCAACCATGTTTCTTTTCTTGCTCTTACTCAGACGTTTCTGTGGATTGAAAGTTTTGATATGTACTAAAATTTGTTTTGGGTTTTTTACTTTAGATATATGTCATACAAGATTGCTGATATGATATGTTACTGTTGCTTACACTAATCCAGATTTCCCCAAAATCTAATTTAATATTATACTCTGATCTGTGCCTAGGTTTCTGAGTGGTCTCTTCCCATCACGTTTTCCAATCGAAATTGTGTGTTGACTTACCAAGTCCCCCTTGCCCTGCATGCCATATCCTCCTTCATTTTGTCATCCTAATCAATGGTGAAGAGAACACGATATAGAGCTCATCATATGCAATCTTAGGTCTGGGTATTTTCTTAACATTCCAGTTGTCTTCTGATGTTTTAATTTGGTGTGAAATGTATCACTTTCTGAGAGGAGAAGACAAGTTGAAGGTCCAGCAGTGAACTGACAAGGAAACTGAGAAGATTGTCTTATGAGTGAAATAATTATTTTAATTCTAAATCTTGTGCTACTTTGGTTTAATTGGGCCTGTCTTCTGACACTCAAAAGGAGAGATATATTAAAAATTTGGATTTGAATCCCTCATGCAAATAGAATGTTCAGGAAATAATTCAAAACTGGAAAGATAACATAATTACTGCATTGTGAAATAGATTGAATTGGCTTATGGTAGTTTCTGTTACCAGGGCTTTGTATTTGTATGATGAACTTTCAGGAGCTCTAGGAACAGAAAATTTCTTGAACATTTGAGCATCAGTACCTCAGACAACCCTGTACCAGTGGCTTTTCCTGGTACTCTTTGTGTAGGAGGCTTGGAGATGTATGAAGTTTCAAGATGGTGACAAAGACATCATTCCAGGTCAAATCAAGATAGCTGACAGCCTCATGTACTCTGTAAAAGTAAATTAAAGCTGGTCCACTATATGCCATGTAGGCACTTGGGGGAGCAAGGTACAGTTCCTACTCATTTTTGAACTTGGCACTAGATGGTGGTGAGCGGTCAGTGTCACGTCCCGGCCACATTTTATCCCCCCCGAGAAAGGGCCCCAATACCCTTTGGATAGGAGGTTGGGTTGGCCCCAGAGGACGCAGAGGTTAGAGGAAAAATATTTTGCAACTGTCCGGGATCAAACTCCAATTGTCCAGTCTGTAGACAGTCACTATACTGACTGAGCTACCCCGGCTCTCATGTACTCTGTTTCTAATGAAATTGTGAACTGTTAAACAAGTCTTGACCTGACTTATGTTTTTAATTTAAAATTTGTAGCTTTTTAACAGTTCAAGTTCAAAGAGTGTGTTTAATGACCTTGAACTGTTTTTGTGTTGTTGCAATGATATGATAGATAATTTTAAAGCTTATTTTGTGAGATTTAAAATTAGCCAAAGTTCATCTCTGTGTGTTAGGTGGAACCAAAGTTGCAACAAAGTCTCTGATCATCTTTGAGTCAAAATTTTACAGCTATTTTAGATTTTGAAAAGGCATATATGTATCTGATATTCTGCACACATTCATTTATACCAAATTTAATTGAAATAAGAGAAGTTAGATTGGAAAGTACTTTGTGTGTTGATTTGACATGGAATGACCCAAGGATAAGAGTCTGCCTTCTCATTATCCAAGTACTTTCATGACTGTCCTTCCCCATACCCTATTTAGGTGTTTTGCTTTATGTAGTATTTTAATGCCATTACCTTTTGTTATTTATTTCACTGTTCTGATGCTTGAGTTTCTGCTTCTAACCATGGTTATTGTTCAGGCGATAAGCTGCAGTCTTGTTCGCTGCCATACTGGGAAGCAAATGAGGTCAAATGCAGACAACAGTTGGATGACCCAAGAAACTGGAACATGGTAATTAGTCTTCTCCAGAATGAAACGACTAATTATACTGCTTTGTACTATTATATATGACATTTGTGTTGTTGGATTTATGTGATTTTTTTTACTAAGATCTCTGTTCATTTCCCTCTATTCTATATTGGGGGGATGTCCATTGTAGTACTGCTGTTTCTTTGTGTGTGAGCCTTGTAGGAGTTTATTGGAATGATGGATTTCTGTTGCTCTCATGTTTACAGGATTATGTGATAGAAGGCAAATAATTTGCAGGTCAGTCTATTTTTATTAATTAGCAGAATCTATATATACATGTTACTCATTAGGGCTTGGGATATATTGAATGAATCATTTCATGCTAAAGCACACCCAACAGTGGCCAAGTTTTGGATGCTTCTATGCATCTACTGCCACATGCCATTGTGAGCCAATCCATTTCAGAGAGTTGATGTGTAAAGTGTTCAGTTAATTCAAGAGTGAAGCAGGCGCTTTTTGTGTGTGTGCGTGCGTGCGTGTACGCACCACCCACTTTCATTAATGTTGCCCTTTTTAGTAATGTAACACATTCACTGTCACTTACCTATGTGGATGACTAACCCCAGGAAGTGATGTATTTTGTATGGGTTTTCTGAAATATAATGCACGCAATAGTAGTTGTATTATTGTATTTAAATTTTCTTCAAATTAATTCTAAAAATGGCTCATGATACACGTGTGGGTTAGTGGCATTGGTAAATGGTATTTTGTCTTCTGCACTGATCAGTGCTGTATGATTGTTCTATGAGGATGTGAATAGTATAAAAATTATAAATTTTATCTCCATTGTTTGCAAACATTAAGTTCAGTCTAACTGAAGTACTCATTCAGTGTTGAAGTTGCAATGTGTCTTGTGTAAGAATAAATGTTACTCCCAAATTTTGCATAATTTAGTCATGAAAAACACTGTCTTTGTTGGTCCAAAACTTGTTTTTTCACAAAGTACATTATTTCTAGGGCACATAGTTTTGGTGGGGTTGCAAGAATCATCAGTTTTACCTCCCACAATTTTCGGACTTGGAAAGCACTGAGGTAAAACCCAAATCCATCCTCATACAACTTTGAATCTTGATCTGAATGTCGCTGTAGCAAGAAGAAACTAAACCTCAGGGCTGACCAGCTCAGTGAAAGTATGGAGGCACGCATGTTCTTAATTGGCACTTTGGGCAGATGTGTGATGCACGTGTTAAGCAGCAGCAGTACACATGTTCATGTGTTTTGATCTGTTTCCATTTTGTTGAAGTATTGTGTTTGATTAGTGTGGCTTCTTGTTTACTGTAGGTTTTGAGGTTATTATAGAATGGATTAATAAAATCAGCGTAAACTAGTACTGACATAATTGTATGCAGCCATAATCAATAATCACAGGTTGATAACTGATAAAGCATAGGTCATGTGTATTTAAAGAATGTAGGAATGGAAATGGCCTGTTGGCACATTTGTAATAATGATTTCAATTCACTTCATTTATTTAAGTGTTTGCCTACAGCAAGAAGCCAATAGAAGGCAAACACTGATATTACATACAATAGTAATAAAATAAAAATGAAAAATATTACACAAACAGATTAACTAAACATATATACATGTACAGTATTAAATATAGCAGCCAAATATAGGCAAACCCAAAATAGAAACAATATTATACACAAAGAAAAATAAATGAAGAAATATAAATAAAAGCAAATAATCCACCCAGGAAATGTAAAATGCCAAAGAAATACAGAAAACAGATTACCAAGCTAGATCATCTTTCAAGACAGCCTATCTAAATAATTTCCCTTATCGAGAACGTGCCCACAAGGGAGACAATTCTTATGCTAAATACGTCCAAAGATTTACATACAGCATTTAATATATAATTTTAACTTCCAACACACATTATTTCCTGTTTGTAAGAGTTAAGTAAATACCTGGTAGGCAAGAGATGTGACCATGCGTTAACCCCCCATGCCAGACATTCTAGAGTAGAGAACATTGGTATTTAGTACAAAGATATTTCTCACATGTGTTTGTTGCTTTCTGCTCCTTAGATGTTCGTAATATTATTTTTATTCGTTTTGTTATTATTTTAAATAGTTCTAGCATTACAAAGTATTACTCATGAAGTTTGCATCAAATCAGAAGAAGCATGACATTTTTCAGTCTGCTAGTGAAGCAGCACATGACTTCTGAGACCACATGGGTCATATGTATTTACTTACTTAACTCTCGTGTGTAGTTTCCTATATTTTAATATTTTAGCATTCTTTATAGTTACAACTTGTAAAGTTGCATAAGACTCACTTTTCTATTTATATGTTATGTATATAATAAGGTCTGATAATTACATACAGCAGGTGCTGAAATGTGCAACCTTTGACTTTGATATTTTATATTATAACAAGTTGTGTTTGACTGTGGGATATTCTTTGATAAGCCGAGTGTACAATCGACTTTTCAAAGAATTTTCTGCACCATAGAGTGACTGAGTGTGACTGTAAACAAATAAATAATTTAGTTTATGAAAGTATATTTGTTACTTTCAGGTTTAAGCACACAGATCAGTAAACATGAGTCTCTTTTTGTTCTTTTATTGTTTATGCTTTATGCAAACACCATATGAAAAGCAATAAAGCATGATGAAAACATTTCGCTTTATTAGTGTCGTAGCAGTTCTGGTGATCTACCGGAGAGGGAAGGAAGAAATTTATTAACCTGAAGATGACTGTTGCTGGGTTGTTGCTCCATGTTTTGAGTCTGGTACAAGTTTACCAAAGTTTCACAGGTCCTTTGAAGAGCTAGGACCTCTGAAACATTGGTAAACTAATATGAGATTACAATGCATAACAATCCAGAAGGCAGCCATCTTCAGACTCACTGCCATGAAAACCTCAAATCCTAAAATGTATTAATCTGTCACCAAACAATTATGTGCCTTTAAATTTCAGATTCCATCCCTGAATTCAGTTGCACTTCACAAGGTAGTTCACCAGCAGCTTGTCCGTTTCACGGGGATGATCCAGGACATGCAAAATCCTGAGTTGTTTCTTGAACAGTATGAGGTACGAAACGACATTAGCGGGCAGACGGCAGTCAAAATGGGCAAATACAGGGATATACCAGTCTGCAGGGTGAGTGTGCTGTGCATATTTGTCCATTCATTTATTCATTCTCACAAATTTCATATGATGCAGATTTTATATTAATTGTTACTATATATGACAAAGGATTTAATAATTGTTAGCATAATTTCAGAAGCCAGTATAGAACTGTGGTTGAAGGACAAGGGAGAAAACCTACAAATACAAAGTAAGACTTGAGGTTCTCACAGCAGTGAGTATGAAGATATCCGTCTTCTGGGTTATTGCGCTGTGTAGTCATCGACCAGACTACACAGCGCAATAACCCAGAAGATGGATATCTTCAAATAAAAAGTACATTAGAATTCTGTTATTATGAGAATTCACAGATGATAAAGATATACTATTAATAGTAAATACTTGTTATAGGGAATTAAACGTCTGGAATACTAAAAATCCCCAGAATCATGTAAGAAATCATTAAAAAAAAATTTCACTATTTATACCACAGTAATTTTAATCAAATTTATATGTTTTCTGTAGTACAAAAAATGACATTTATCTTACTGACAGAAGACATACAAGCTAGTTTAATAATTGAGAATGTACACTTCAAAATTTTGTTGTGAACCTTGGAACAAGCGTGGCATCTGCATAGATTGGCGGTAAATAATAATTGTGGTGTCTGCATGGTGTGGTGGTTGTAAAGTATCTATAATCTAGGTCATGACAAATGAATATTGATATACATCAATTGGAGTTATAAATTACAGCTTGGTTGTTGGATGGTGTAGTCATAATTTGTCTGCTGCTTACCATTTCTTTCGTGGCTGCAAGGCTGTTAAACCTTTTCAACAAATATCCTGTGAGGTCTATTATATGACCTGCAAAATCATATCTTCACAGCACAAATGATGTAAAAAAAGAATGTAAAATACCTCCAGGTCTCCATTTCCCATGAGTGACCAACAGTAATAGGAAGGAAATTCATTCAGTTGTCAAGTATCAGTTAGTTGCAGAAAGTAATGAATATTATAGCGTAGCATTGTCATAGATTTACGGCATGTAAAAGAACCTTACGAGCATGAATGATATGTTTCTTAAGTAAAATTCAGTGGCTATTTCTCACCCAAGTCTCTCCTGATGGCTCTAGTAGACAAATCAGGATTGAGTATAAATTGTCCGAGGCAGTGGGCCTGTCACTCACTACTCATAAATGCACGCTTCAAAGACAGAGGTACCTCCCACATGGGAGGAGGCCAAGGCTCGACCTTGGGCTGTTGCGCCATAGAAAAAGAAGAAGAAGAAGAATGTGTAACATAGGGAGATAAAAAATGCAATGCTTAAAACTAAGAAAAGTTTAAAGTAGACAATTTATTAAATGTGATTGGTTGCAAGTACAATTAAGAAGGTGTTCTGAAGTGAAAAGAATATTTAATGTTAATTTCAATTGCCAATTAGTAGTTTATGTTGCAATTTATATGAAACAACTCCCTTCAGTTCTACGTGTCTGCTCACTGCAGAAGTGTACTTAACGTTCTGATGCTCTGTAAGAAAAGTGCCACATTACCCTTAACATTCCTATATGGCTGGTCACCATTTGAGTGTGTAAATGTTTGAATTAATTTTTCATTACACTTTTCTGTTATGTCAGATACCAAATGGAGTATAATTACTCTTCATTGATAGAATGCAACTGTTGAATAAATGGATACTTCGCATTTGATAGTGACCGCCGTGATGGTAATGTGTTGCTAGTGTGATGTGGCTGATTCATAATAACAGCAGTGTCTAGCTGTATTCCCAGACATAACATTGTGTGGTTATAGGAAGAGGCCACAACTCTTTTGTGAAAATATTGAAATAATAACAGCCTTTCCAGAAAGCAATCAAAATCACTAATGAAAGATGTGAAAAATGCTCTCAATAGAAGAAAGAAATAGTGTATTTAACATCGTTGGCTATATAAAACACTCATAAAAGCAGACTTGTTACAGGTCATACTAATTACATTGAGCTTTTACTGTAATTACAGTACTTTTTCTTTCAAAATTTAAATTTGTCTCGTGGATATTTCTGTACTGTAGGCTTCTGATTATCCATGTTAATTGGGAAATGATTTTCCCGCATAATCGAAACCCCAGATAATTGACAAAAATTAAATTAAAAAAAGAAAACCAATATAACAGATACGTACGTTTATTAACAGATATACACTACTCGGATTTGTAAAGATTTACTAATAACAGAAAATATTTTATATAATATGTAATACAGTATGTACCACCCATTTAAAAAATATTCCAATGGGTAGTGAAAATGTATTGTTGTAAATTTCGGATTTTTCCAACAATTGTTTTTTGTTAATATGTTAGATGTCATTGAATTTATTCCTTTCTTCTTAGACATTCAAATTTTACAACAGATTTTCAAAATTAATTTTTAATTTTTGTTTAAATCAGATAAACCCTGGATAATTGGGAGTCTACTTTATTTGACTTAATGGTTTTGTATGTCTCAGCAATCCTCTGTGGCGATAAGCCAAATCATATTTAGATAAAATTCGGTCTTTTCAAAGCTCCTTCTTTTGTCATCAGATATGATATACATGGGTTACTGGAAAATTTATAGTGGCTTTATATACATGAGGAAGGACTGGTGTAGGAAAACGCAGTGCAAATGTCTGAACCAATGGCAGGAGGAGAAAAATTAGAAGACTGCAGATCTAAATGAAGGCCATGACAAATAATATATATGTATACTTCTTTCTAGCTGGATGAGGTGTTTGTGGAGGATTCAGCAAACAACTTGAATGGACAACGGCAGTCACTCTGTTGTGTATCGGTTCCTGCACTTAACTCTTGGGTGAACGAGTCTCTCGTCACAGAGAAGTTTCAGCCTCTGCAGTGTGAGAAGAAACGGGCTCATCCAGATGAGTCTTCCGGTAGCAGCGAAACGCTCTTCACGCAAGGAACCAGTGTCAAACGTTTCTGTCCCTATAATCAACTTGATTCAAGGAATTCAATTCTTAATATGGAACTCAACGTCCCACTGCCAGAGGCTCAAGTTAAAACTTGTTTGGTTAAGGTGAGAAGTTTTCAGTTTTATTTTATTAACTGGCCAAAATTTTATTTGAAAGTAACAGAATTTAATAATGGTGCACCCAAAACAAAATAATTTTGAAGACACTGATTGACCCAGTTGACGTATTATTTATGGGGATTGAAAGAGTTGGTGGATCAATTGAAATGGAGACTGATGATGATGATGTTCTTCTGTGTTGTGATGCTGTGTAAGCTCTTAGGTAGATATCAGTGTTTCGGAGAAATTTACTCTCTCCATCTTCAGGATTGAGGATGGAGACATATTCTTTTATACTACAAAAGAAGTCTGTTTGTATATCTTGTGACAGCTCACACACACTTGTCATATCAAAGATATATTGGCTTATGACAATTAATGCATTTACAATTCAGCATTGCATTCCTCTGCTGTGAAATAACTGTGTGTCTAATATGACGTGCGCAAATCAGTGTTGTTTAGCAGGAAGTCAGAAAACTCCTGAAGCAGGTGGGAATTCACAAAAGGAAATGAAATTTGGTAGAATGATAGTTTGTGGCCATGAGCATCCAAAACTCATGAGCAGCAATGTTGCCAGGGCACAGAAAATGTGGCTCACGTATTACCGCTTTTCACACCACGTCGTCTATCTTACCGAGTGTTATTTAGTTCCCCACACTGCTTCCTGAAGATGGATCAGAACTTTTCAGACATTTTGTATATGTCGGATTCTGTACGGTTCTGACGATGGTGTGATATAGTCAGGGTTTTTGGACTCTGTCCATCGTCCAAGGTTAAAATATTTGTGACGTTTCGAAAACAGTATTCGTTTTCGTCTTCATGAGTATGGGGCGGGGGCACCTACTCTGTTGGGTCTAATAGAAAGAGCTAGTCTCAATCACTGGTATGTTCTGGCTGGTTCTTATGGTATACACACTACAGCTAATTAATGTGTATTAATGAGTAGAGGAAGTGATGCATGTGTGCAATGTTGAAAGTGATAATTGTATGTGTAATATATGCACATTTTGTTGTGGTGCATAAACTCTATAAGTATTAAGGTGAAATTGGCAACTGCAGTGTATGACAAAACATTTGTAATCTTAAATATGGTGTTACAAGGATAATAAATTAAGGACTTGTAGCATGCATGTAGGTATTAAAAATGCATGTAACATTTTGGTTGGAGAGCGTGAAAGGAAGAAACCACTTGAAAGACCTAGTTATTGATGGAAAGATAATATTAAAGTTGATATTACAGAAATTTAGTGTGGATTCTCAGGTTAGGAACTGGTGATGGACTCTTGTGAAGAGGGTAATGAACCTTTTGGTTCCATAAAAGACAAGGAATTTCTTGAACAGCTGAACAACTTTCAATTGCTGAAAAGGTCTTCTGCCATGCACTCATCTGGTATCTTGAGTACTCACTGTCTTTGATTTCTGGAATTATCGTTCTTCATCAGAATTTCTTAGACCATGCTACCCATAATACCTCAGCATTGATACTGTGTTGTGCATTCCCCAAAATGATTTATTGTGCTGATAACTTATCTTGTATATTTTCTTTAATGTTGAGGGTTAACTTTTATAATGCCAGATACTGACTGAAAATAAATGATCTCATTAAAGGTGTATGACAGCAATTCATCTCTTGTCTTGAATGATGTGATTGAAGTGGTTGGCTTCTTGTCTGTGGACCCAGCGCTGAGTGTTTCATCTGTCGGTACTGAGGAAACAGAGGAGGACGAGGAGTCACATCTACACAACCAGCCTTGGTCTCTGGTTCCGAGGTTGCATGCCGTTTCTTTCCGGAAGCTTTGTCACAGCAACCCTCTCGTGCATCCTACTTTGTGCAGTACAGGTATATCATGACTTCTGCTAAGTAGGAAGTTTAATTTTTTGTGTTAGTTTTCCATGCAAAATGTTTGAACTTTTTTCTCAATTATTTATGCCTGCCCATCAATTCACATTTCATTTTTATGGAGCTTGTTCTAGTCATATGCCAAAGTGGTTTGACACATTTAAATTTTTATTGATTACATAACATGATCGGTCTTCATCATATTTTTCAGAGTTGTCTCAAGTAAGATTGTGACACAAAATTATCAAAGAGAATTTGTAGATGTGTGGCTATCATACACCATATAAATTTTGCATAAAGTCAAAATATGTGACATGGTTGCCACATTATTCTTTGTAGGATTTAAGGTTTTCACGGCGGTAAGTCTGAAGTTGGCCATCTTCTAGGTTGTAGTGCCATGTAGTCTGGTAGTTTGTCGAATTTACAGATGTTCTTGCTGCCCGTCGCCCTGATGATGGAGGCAGCATGAACCTATGAAACTTTGTTGAACTTCTACCAGACTACACAGTTCAGCAACCCAGAAGACAACCATCCACATTATTCTTCATTTATATTGTAATAGAAGCGAGAAGCGTGAATGTTTTCAGAGATGTTTCACCGCGTACAATTCAGAACCCTCCATCGAGTGGTGCTGATGAATTTGCACACCTGTCATGTTTATGTTACGTGTGACTGAACTTGAAGCATCAGTTACATGCTATTCAACAAACTGCTGTAAATCATTTAGCAGTTGTGGTCATCTGCATATGAATCGGAATTTCTTTAACATATTTTGATTTGTATTGCTTTTGGAAGCAGAATAAACGCTATAAATTCCTCTCGGACAATCAGTTGTGTCAGTGGTGCTTTACTACGCAAGCTGATTCCATTCTGCAGTGGCAGAGCATAAGGAAATTAAGAGCAAATAAAAGTGTTTTAATGCTTACTACTATTAATTTCAGAACCTTTTGTCTCTCTGTCTGCTGTCTAAAAACATCAGGATCAAAATATGCAATAGTGTAATTGTGTCTTTAGTCTCTTACTAAGGGAGGAACATAGACTGAGGGTGTCTGAGGAGAATATTTGGACCCAATAGGGATGAAATACTAGGAGACTGCAGAAAGTTGTGTAATGAAGAGCTTCACGAGTTGTACTCCTTGCCAAAAACTATTCCTGGCATTTATGTTTAGATCCAATATGATCAGTACACTTTGCTCACTAGACTTTACCTCCAGCTGGACAAGCACTTCTGAAACAAACTTAAAAATGTAATGGCTAAAAAGCATTCCCTTCTTTTTTAAGCTCACTGTGAAATGAAAATGAATCAGACGAATGAGTAATAAATGAGGCTTAATAGACATTAATAGACATGTAATTAACATGGTCGTCTAGTACAGTATCAGACCCATTACCCAGAAACCCTGGAAACTAAGGCTTTTTGAATTTTAGGATTTTTGGCTTTTGGATCTTCACTTTCTGTTTTATATTAAGTGGCATTTGCTTCCTTTTTGTAATTTTAAAGTCCTCAGAACTCACTGTTGGTCTTTTAGACGTTTTAAAGGGTAAAACTAGTAAGTAAGAAATAATAACTGAACTGCCAAATCCTACATTATTTCCCGGTGACTGACTACACAAGTGCAAATAAGCAACCTGCTTTCTACTAGCAATAAGAAGACTACTGACAGTGGTGCCATTCGTCCATGGTGGTGAATCAAAGAACCATGAAGCACCAGTTTTAAACATGACAAACATAGGAATATTCCACTTAAATATCACCAGGTAAAATACTGATTGTGGCTACTTACAGATTTTGGAATGGCATTTATGGGATCTGGTATTGTACTTGAAATTTAGAATTTGAGGTTTTCATGGTGGTGAGTCTGAATATTGCTGTCTTCTAGGTTGTTGCACCATGTAGTCTGGCAGATGACCACCAACATTTCAGAGATCCATGCTGCCATGATGTTTCATAGCCCTGATGATGGAGGCAGTGTGGACCTTTGAAATGTTGGTGGACATCTACCAGACTACATGGCACAACAACCCAGAAGACAGCAATCTTCTTACTTGAAATATACTTAGAGTGTTATATTATACTCATCCATTAATTGACTTGCAAACTTTTCTTTGAAAATATAAACGACCAATCTGGTTCTTATTGTGTACCTCTTAAATGCAGAAAATTTGATCAATGTCAGAGTTATATGGCATGTTTGGTGAATTTTTCTTCATCTTTAATGATTAGGCCCTCTGGCCTGATCTGTTTTGAGTCAGATTTGTTTATCCATCCTGTCATCTCATACCTTTGTATCAGAATTGGGAAGTAACATGAGGGTATATACCTTCCATAAAAGGTGGAAATTTTCTTGACTGAGGATGTATTAGCTTCTCAAGGACTGTGTTCCATGGAATTAGTATCGTGTTTTCAATTGACTGTGTGTGATGGTTAGATTTACTAAATAATAATACATAATACTACAGACTCATGAATTATACTATATTTTGGTAGCAAATACATGTCAGTAGATGTGTATTGCAGGACCTGTGTAGAGTATATGAAGTTTCTGCTGGTATCTGTTACAGAATTTAGTGTAAGTCACAGCAATTATCAGTCATTTCTTGTCTCTGCAGAGGATGTTCGCGAAATGGCGAAGGTTGTGAAACAGGATCTTCGTCTGGTGCTGAGCCAAGTTTTGTTGGGGGACCACTTGGCTGCCGATTACTTCATCTGTCACCTCATTTCCACAGTGTAAGCTGAAGTTGTAATACTTCATGCTATTTCTTTGTCTTCATGTTTTAAATGAAGTGTTTTTTGGTAGACAAGGTGATGACTGCTTCCTGCTACATAATTTCAATTTATTATTCACTAATCACCCAATCATTTGGTCAATTGGTTACACGAACCCAACATTTTGGGAATCATCAGGGTTCTGTTGATCGTCCGAACCCTGATGGTGGGGACGGAGATAGTTTCCGAAATGTCGGTCTCTTCATGTAACAAATTGACGTGGCTGATTGCCTGAGAAGATTTTATTAAGTCGCTTTGAAAGCTTCAAATCATATAACTGGTAACTATAATTATCACTAGCCTTTAAAGGGTGAATTGTTTGTGCAGGTTTCAGCATAGCGAGCTGCTAGCTTTAGGCAAGTTTAGTCTCAACATTTCCAGTGTTTCGCCTGGCAATGGTTATACCACGAAGCTGTACGCAGTACTCGCAGAACTGGTGACGAAGAGCCACTATCTGCCGCTCACACTTGAAAACCTGAATAAGAGCACCTTCATACCAAAGTAAGTTTCATGCTGGCTGAGAATTCTGTTGTTGCTTATGGAAGATCTGTGGCTGTCATAATAACATGAACTTTCATATGTGGATCCACCTTTGATCTGAAAAATTTATTCACTGGTCTAGCATTTGCATATTTAAGTGGTTCTAATGTGCTGCCATCAGTAACACTGTTTCACCACTTGCATATTTTAAATGTGATAATGAAGCAATGGAAATATAACTGGGGAAGTGTAAATCACACTGAGAATGGCATGAAACTGCTGTTACCTCCTTATTGACTGCAGTTGGTATAGTTGCTCAGCCTGCAGCCCACCAATGTATTCTGTGTGACCTGCATTTACTTTTTATGTTATTCTTTTAGCTTGTAGACTTATAATAAAAATTGTTACTGCCAAAATTAAAAATTTTATTTTTAGTGAATTATTTATGGAAATAACATATTAATAAATTCGTTAAAGACAAGTACTGAGTAGTATATGCTCTATTTTTGATAATAGGATTGGAGTGTACTTAACAACCTACCATGAAGTTTCAGTAAATTGTCTTCATTTATAAACTGGTGGCCCAGGAGTGGGTAAGGAAGGGTGAATGTGTTGAAAGGTTAGAGAACCGTGTGGTGACTGTCAGTACGGCTACAGATTTTTCTGTTTATTATCGTGTCTGTTGTTAATAAGCAGACTTACGATCAGTCTCATGTTACTCACAATTTCAAGTCCTGATTGATAGCATTTCTATCAGCACAAATCATCCGTCCCATCATTATAATCTCTATAATTTGTGGGTTATTGGGAATGCAATGGAACCTTTATTTACACTTTTCTGGGAATTTTAAAAAAAAAATGGTGCAAAATTGCAGGAAATGCAAAACTTATAAGCATAGTTTATCTTAACCCTTTATTGAATGTTTAACAAATAATGTAGGTGAATTACTAAGAATTGTATGAACAGTTTTCTTCTTCTTCTTCTTTCTATGGCACAACAGCCCGAAGTCGAGCCTTGGCCTCCTCCCATGTGGGAGGTTTCTTTGTCTTTGAAATGTGCATCTGTGAGTAGTGAGTGACAAGCTCACTGCCTATGCACAATTTCTACTCAATCCTGATCTGTCTGCTAGAACCATCTAGTAGTGAGACTTGGGTGAGAAATGGCCGCTGAATTTTGCATATGAAACATCTCGATGAACAGTTATACAACATATAATTTTAAGAAAATAAAAATGTACAATATCATGATTCAAGTTAAAGTTATTTGTCAAAAGTTGGAGATGACTGTCTTCTGAGATATTACTCTGTATAGACTGGTAGAAGTTTATTGATGTTCAAAGAGGTGTGCCACCATACGTAGGTAAACTTTTACAAGAGAACATGGCTCAACGTCCCAGTAGACAGCCATCTTTATATTTGCTGCCATGAGAACTTGGGATCTCACTATGAAAGTTTTTGTACATTTGTTTGTTTTTTAATCTGTAAATGTACACATTGATTTACAATTTCTTGAATGGTGATAATGTTTGATTTTTCAACTCAAAGTTAATACTGTTGATCAAAGTTGTCTCGGGATCTATATCTCCTATTCCTATGTGATAAAGTTAAAAGTTCCACTATTTAGAAGCCTCTTTTAGATGATGAAATTACAAAGTATTGACCCAGGCTTGCAATTTACTTTATGTGCAGTAAACCTTAATTGCACAGACATCGATTTTATGGACTTGGGATTTTTTACTGACAATTTCCAGCACACACACCCCCCCCCCCACTCAGACACACACATGTGCAGGCGCGTGCGCACACTCACAACTGTAACTGCCAGCCATGCAGCTATCGGAGTGATACAGATTGATTGGTGTTGTACAAGTCTGTTATTACTGTATTGTTATTGCTTTACTTTGATGTAAAATAAACTGTAGTATAGTACACACATTTAAACATGGTTTTTTTGTAACTTATTTTTCCCATTTACATATCTGTGTTCTCTTCACCTCAGTCTTATGGACTATCACCTAATACAGACGCTGCTTCTCCTCATATAATCGGTAGTATTGAGGTGGGGATTTAAAGTCTTTGTGGTGTTTACAATTTGGATTGTGGTCCTTCGTGTTATGCGACCATGTAGACATGTAGTTAGTTTCCATTGTTTTGGAAGAGCAGAAGTGAGTCAAGGTGGGGATGTGGGTAGGTAATGTAGGAACATTGGGAGGACTGGGCCATGGAGACAAAGAATTGGTGTGTCAGATCCTGGATTTAGAAGAGGAGGTAGAACCTATTCAGGTCTGTGAGGCTGAATGGTGTCGTACCCCAGGAGACCACAGTCTGTTGTTTATATATTGTTTGTGCGTATGATTGCAGGAAGGATTATGATGGTAATAGATTGGTAAGCGGTATACTCCAACTGAGTGCACACACGCACCTCGTCCTCGATGAAACTTGCATGGAACCAGGACAGCTGGACTCGAATGGTGTGCGTAATGTGGCAGCACTAGGCACACTTATCTCTCAACAGAAAGTTGACTATGACTTCCAGTTTTATAAGTTGGAGTTCCAGACTGATATACCAGTTTTGGTGCTCTCTGAAGGGAAATCCCTGTTGCCTGTAAGTCTTAATGTTTTCCCAGTTATCATGTTTTTAGTAAATTTTAAAATATAAAAAAAAGTATTATTCAGAATCACGTGCATGAAAAATATGTTTTTGAAGACATAATTTCTCATTTCCTGCCATTTAATTTTGACAGTCTCCTTTTTCTACCGTCTTTTCCTTAGTTCCCTTTGTGTTTCAGCTGTTTCTTATCAGATGCAATTTTTTGCTTAGCAATATTGCTTCATGATGTTATTATTTTTATTCTCATGTACATGGTTTTTTCTGGTACTCAAATGCATAGATTTAAAATTTGTCACGATAGCTTCCTTCCACATACTTCCTTATTTATGATTCAAAATTATATGTTTATTATACAGGGCGATTCAGAGGTTTGATACAATACTCTAGGGGGTTATTGGGGAGATCATTAGGAGCAGAAAATGCAAATCATATTTTTCCGGATTTGCTACCATCTTTGAGTGAAGACATTTTTATGTGGGTGTAGCTTTGCATTGTTGTGATCATTTGATGAGGACACACAAAGTTGAAATGAAGTTATCGGACTTGAACAGTAGTACCGGTAGTAAATCAGACGAGTCCCCATCACATGAGCAAAAAAGTAGTCTTAAGTGATGACTGAAAAAAACTGCAAAGGACAGAATTTTCTTTTCTTTCATACATTAAAGTCAAGGAACTGAATTGACACGTTGAAATGAATTGTTTCCATTTTGTAAAATTGACAGTCACAATAATAAAAGCGACATCAATGTAGAAATGTCACAACTTGGAAAATGTAGTGAATCAGAAAAAAACTTTATTTACATTTTCTGCTACAGATAAAGCCCCCAATAACTTTCTTAAGCATTGTACTGGATCTTTGATTCAACTGTATATGCTTAGTGTATGCAGATGAGAGTGCTTTGTTAATATTTTAAATAGAGCATTTAAATTCCTGCGGTTATCTGGATGCGATCATCTGGATCTTTCTTCTTGAAGATTTCCATGTAAAATATTCATCATCCTGTCGAGGATTGAGCCCTTGGCCTGTTCCGGACACTTGCTCAAGGCAATTTGTCATGTTTGTCTTTTAGTGCCTCAGAGTAGCAGCTGCCTCTGGACAATTTCTACTTATTCCTGATTTACCTGCTGTAGCCCTCTACTAGTGAATCAGAAGGGACATGGGTGAGAAATGTCTGCTGAATTTTGCTTACAAAACATGTATTTCATGTTCGTAAGGTTCTTTTATACGCTGTAAACCTAGGACATAGGACCGCCAGTTTACCCTCTGAAGGAAGTCGTGCTACAAATTTTTATCACCCTTAAAAATCCAGCCTTGGGTCCAGTGGCAAGGGCAACCCAATGTAAAATATTTTCTAATTTTTTTATCTTTCCCATATATCTTGCATGCCATGCTTGTATCATCTTACTTCAATTGTCCTGTTAGTACCATGGTGAAGAGTTCATATTGTGATGCTCGTCATGCAGTTTCCTTCATTCTTTTGTTACTTCCTGTCTCGTAGGTCTTGATATTTTCCCCACTACCTTGTTTTCAAGCATCCCGGCCGAGGTCAATAGATTTTTAAGGGTGATAAAAATCCGTAGCACAACTTCCTTCGGAAGGGAAGTAGTCGGCAGTCCCATGCCGTAGATTTACGGTATGTAAAAGAACCTTACAAGCATGAACAACATGTTTCGTAAGCAAATTTCAACAGCCATTTCTCACCCAAGTCTCCTGATTAACTGCTAGATGGCTCTGGCATTCAGGATTGAGTAGAAATTGTGCAGAGTCAGTGGGTTGGTCACTCACTACTCACAAATGAACACTTCAAAGACTAGGAAACCTCTGAAAAGGAGGCGGCGAAAACCCACAACCGGGTTGTAGAGCCAAGAAACAACAACAACAATCTTGTTTTCAAGCACACTTTGGATGTTGTAACAGTAACTGTGCCGCTCTTGTGGCTTATGTAAGTCAGAATATATGTGTGGGTTTGTCTGTCGCAGAGTGATGTGGCAGTCCCCCTGGAGCCAGATTACAAATGCATGGAGACTATGAATGAGATTTTTGAAGCTGTGAACCACTATCTTCAGGGGTCAGTGCTGCAGAAGTTACGGAAATATCTCACTGTCGTACGTTTGCTGAAATATTCGTTGCCGCAGAACATGGAGAAGGTTTGTGTCCTTGAGTGTTGTGCTTAACATTTGTTCATTACGTTCAGTACTGAGGATTGCTGTTACTCAAGTCAGCGCTTAACAGGATTTGACTGTGTGTGGAAGTTGAGTGCAAGTCTGTAGGTAGAACTTGGCTGTTTTACTTTTCAGAGTCACACCATTGAAGAAGATTAACAGGCTCTCTGTAACAGTAGTGTACTGGATCATTACAGAAATTTATGTAGTCTGTGTAGTCACTTTATTATATTACTGCACCATTATACATAACATTTAAGTTATGTTCTCATGTCAAAGTCATGTAAGATCCCTCAACACATTAAGAATTTTATTCATGTTATATTTAATGCTGTAATGTGTGTAATATAATCAAGGCACATTTTTAAATGTGTTTCAGTGTCTTGTTTTGTGTGTGTGCGCGCGTCACATGAGAGGCTCACTTCCCCTGGTGAAATTATCGTACAGAATAAATATTTAACCCAGATGACCTTTTGCACATATTACTTTTTTCACAGCTTTTAAGACTTAAGAATAACATACCTTTTTTGTCTATACATATAACTATCTTTTTAAAATAATTGCTTCTTTATGTTCTTACGATGTATATAGTTCATGTCACTTGAAAGAATTCTGGTTACTTTGATGGATAGGTAATTAAAAATATGACAATGCATTGTAATCTTTATATAACAAACTTCATTGGCTTGACAAATTATATTTGAAAAATGAAAGGTAGTAACAGCAGATTAGCTATTTAAAATATATTGTTTCTACAAAGGTCAGTGAATAAGTGACACATTTATAATTTTTTCAGTATTTTTATGTATTACAATATACGAGGCTCGTCCACAAAGTAAGTTTCCCTGGGGCTGTTTACAGAAACAAAACACAATTTCATGGAAATATTTATTGCAACAGATACAGCAAGTGTCCAGCTATTTTTAACACATTCGCCACCGGAATTGAGACATTTGTCATACCGTGGGACCAACTTTTGAATACCTGTGTCGTAGAAGTCTGCCGCCTGGGATTGGAACCACTGTGTGACAACCATCTCCGCCTCTCTGTCATTCTCAAAACGCTGACGCTGACAGGACAGGAATTTCTTGAGGTGTAGGAAAAGATGGAAATCACTGGGAACGAGGTCCGGGCTGTAGGGTGAATGATCAAACACCTCCCAGCTGAACTCCTGCAGGAGACTCGCTGTCCGTCGAGCCGTGTGCGGCCGAGCGTTATCACTGACCGCACTTCACAGTCGGCGGGAGCTGGAATAAGAACCTCCATCTTCAACAGCTGCAACGATGCTACGGTGAAATATTTAAATGTGAAAGCATTTGTTCATATATTAGAGTGATCTAATCTACAAATTTATATAAATTATTCTTTATCAGCGAGTTATATTATCTGTTATTTACCATGCATCAAGGCTTTGTGTATCACAGTGACATGTTGGTAAACTATATAATGAATTCTTGGGCTACCAGCCATGTCAGGTAGTTGAATGGAGAAAACACCAACATTTCAAGAACCAGCTTCGTCTTCAAAGTACTTCAGTACATGGCTGATAGCCCAAGAATTCATTATACTTGGTCACCGCAAAATCTTCGGATCAAACATAGGTAAACCGGTTGACCCTGAAGTTATAATCAGGCCAGCATGCTTTAAATCCCCTGTTGCCATACAGTGGGCATGAAGCCATTGTCAGTCACCCAGGAGCCAGATTTTCGTTTGCCATTTTACATCATGCCGCTTACTGACAACTGGAGGTAGCCATTTTCCCATTACTTTGTTCACGCTCCGATGTGCTGTTTTGTTATCAGATTCAGTTTCATTTTCAGACACTAGGTCTGGTTGTCAAAAATTTGTATCTGCACGATCGAAAAGTGACGCATTCTTGTCACTAGTAACATTATTCTCTGCCGTACTGTGTACTAAGGGAATTACAGAACTTTGAAGGTCTTTATGATGTACAGTGAAACCTCTATCCATCGTTCCCGGAACTATCGTTTTCCCGGATGCATCGTCCGTTTTGTTCGGTCCCGAATACATCCCATATAAAATAATGTTACATTTTCCCGCTTCTATCGTTCCTCGAACTATCGTTTTATCGCATCGATCGTTCAAAAATCTTAGTCCCGGCCAACAATTTTCCCGCAATGATCGTTTTGTGAGAATTTAAAATGCTGGGTTTTGAGATAAATTAATACCGAAAGACGCACAATGTTTTTGGAATACACAGTAGTGGTAACCTGTTATGTCGCCCAACCAGCACATTCTTTTGGAATGAGGGTCAGCGGTGCAGGGGTGATAGTTGGAGTGAATGGC